AATAAGAGGAAATTTGAGGTCAAGGCACACCTGATAAATAAGTACAAAGGGTCAATGACCTTTCTAATATGGCATTTCTTAAACTGTGGTGGTTGCATTACTGGGATTGTTTTTATAAATGCTCTGATCATATTTATTTGATCTGAAAATAACAGGAAAAAGAATTCAATAAGTTTTAATGATATAAATTCACAAACTGTAAGATTTTGATTATAATTATATCTTAAAAAACATAATTTGTGAATTAGTTATTTATAATACATAATTAGAGTATTTTCTAAAATTGTGTTTAATGAAGTAGGTTAATTAATTTGGTATGAATTAAAAATGTCCCTTAATCTTTTTTTAGTTTTTATATTGTTTTTTATTATTATTATTATAATTTGAGATTTGTTCATTAGAGAGGAAATATTTTTAATTATTGACTATATCTTTAAAGAAAAATTAATTTGCTTAAGATTCTAAATGATTACTTATGAAGTTATGAAGAAATGTCACATGGATTATTTGGAAGTAAGAATTTGAATTTTTTGTGTGTATGAGTAGAATGTTCAATTTTGATTTTATAGTAATGTACCTAAATAATTACATAAAATACGTACTTGGATAATTAAATAAGCCAATTACTATAAATGAGTTTTAAGGAATATTTATTACATACATCAAATTGAAAGTATTTTAAAATGCTTTTTTTATATGTACCATACATATGTGTATATACAGTATATATAATAAAATTGATCATATAATCCAAACTATATCTATTAAAAAACTCACTTAACTATCTGATTTTTTCAGGATGTTTATTCTTATTAGGTTGTTAAACTGTATGAGAATATACCGTATAAGTATATCCTGCTATGTTTGCAGGAAGATATTTACAACATAGTGTGGTATCCAACCTTGTATGGAATCTTCTCGTAACCTGATTAACAAGTCAAAAATCTGTTTGATATCTATAGAAATATTCAGGATATAAATAATTCTTACCTGTTCCCATTCTTAATGCTTATTAGAAATTGATTGATCTATTTGAAAATATTTTACAATTTTTTTTAGTTTCTAGATTTTGCTAGCTTATCAAATGTGTGAAATTTTGAGAACTGACAGATTCTATCTTGGTTCATTAGAATCTGTTAAAAATTTTATATTCATATAAATGAACTTAAAACTTACAAATATTTTAGCTCTTTCTCTAAAAAATTCTGTATTATATTTCTGAATGGCTGGTGTTTTTCTTAGTAAAATATAAATCAGTAGTACATATAAACAAATTATTCAACTTTACTATGACTTATTCTATTTATAATTTATATATTGTTGTTAAACATTATGCAGAAAATATTTCTGCTATTATTAATTAAACTAAAAGAAACCTACTGAAATATTTTTTTTTTGTAATTTTTAGACATTAAATATAATGCATGTACATCTTTAATTTTGTTAATTTGATTTGTGTGTGAATTTTGTTTTGCCTGAGCCCTCGATTTTATTTACATTTATTTCAAATTATAATAATGAATTTGAAGTTCTTAGAAATATACATTCCTGAGTTAATGAACACTTGCAGAATCATTTTACAATTTTATTTATATTTAAGAACATTGCTTAAATATTCATGATTCTGAAATTGCTTAGTGTCTTCTGAATTTATTATTTTTACAACTAGGGAACATGTTCTGTACATGAATCTATTATTTCTTTATTGCATATTTAAAAAAGCATTTGATTAATGATGTAATTTTTTAAACTAATAATTGTTTAATAAATCAGATTTATTATTAGGGTAATTATCATAAATTTATTTAATAATATATTATGAATTTTTTATTTTTTACTGTTAAATTCATATTTGTATAGAAATGTTTTAGAGTTGAAATTTTGAATCTTTTTTTTTTATTTAAACTTTAAGCATCATAATTGATATCGTCACTTATTACTTTCACTTTAACTTTTAAATTCATATTTGATTTTGATATTTATTTATTCAACTTATTGTAAATAAAACATTTGTTATTAAAAGTTAGATTTTGATTAATTTTGGTGCTGATCTTAATCATTCAGATACTTTAGCATTCATTTAGTCAAAATATGTTAATATAAAATAATAATAATAAATCTTTAAATGTGAATACATGTACATCTGAATTTAAGTATTACATTACAGTTTACTGAACATAAAAGCCGAAAACTTATCTATTTCAATTTAATCAAAAGTAAAAAAAATACTGAATTTCATTTAGCAGAAAAATATTTATCTTAGTTCAAGTTTCAAGGAATAAACTTATAACTTAGCATTGGAATATCTATATGAGTCTTTGAAAATCATTAAATGATTCATAGGATAGATTTCAGTTATTCCTGTTTAAATGAGTTACTTTTGCATAGCTTGGAATAGCTTTAAATGATTAGTAGTTTGGTTTTCTTCTTTAACCTATTTTCATTATAAGTTGCTAGAACAATTGTGGGAAATCAATTTTACAAATCTCTAATACCTCTTTAACTGATTTGAATGGTATGTGACATGATATGTTTTCATTAACAATCCTAGAATTTAGTGTTACATTGTGACTTGCTACTTATTTTTCTTGTAATTTGTAACACATCACTCAATAAGTCTCTTGTCTGACACATATATGGCAAAACTGTTGACAGACTCTTATGATTTCTGGATAGTACCAACTTTCAAACGATACGTGCCAAAATTTCATGACATTCTGACAATTAGTTTACAGGTTACAGTGGTTTTAGTGACCCCAGTTTTGTAATTTTCAAAACAATGGATAAAAAAGAATTTAGTGTGTTGATTAAACATTGTTTTTTGATGAGGAAAAATACTGTTGAAGCCAAACAGTGGTTTGATAAGCATTATGGAGACTCTGCACCAGGAAAATCAACTATTATTGACTGGTATGCTGAATTTAAATGCAATCATACAAACACCGATGATACTGAATGCTCTGGTCACCCAAAATCGACAGTTGTTCTGGAAAACATAAAAAAAGTCCACAAAATAGTTTTGAAAGACCGTAAAGTGAAATTGTGTGAGATAGCTGACATCTTAAAGATATCAGAAGGTAGCGTGTTTACAATTTTACATGAAAATTTGAGCATGCATAAATTGCTTTCAAAGTGGGTGCTGCGTTTGCTCACATTGGATCAAAAACAACAATGCATTCATGATTCAGAGCACTGTTTGGAGCTGTTCAAGTGAGATAAAAAGGATTTCTTGTGTCGTTATATGACAATGGATAAAACATGCATCCATTACTACACACATGAATCAAAAAGATCGTCAGCTGAGTGGACAGCAGTTGGTGAAAGTCGTCCAAAGCGACCAAAAACTCAAAAGTCAGCTGGCAAGGTTATGGCATTCGTATTGTTATGGCATCCAAATGAATGTTGGAACTCTTGAAGGAGAGTATGTTGATGAATAAAGTTGAATTTCTAAAAAAAAATTGTTTTTCTTAGTTAGACTGGAGACTTATTGAGTGAAGTGTTAATATTTCTTTGTAAATAATTTTAGATTTATATGTAAAGATTAATTAATTGCTATAGTGCCAAAAACTTTAGTAAAAAATAATTAGTAGTAAGACAAAAGAAAATTGACATTTAGAATAATTCGGAACAAACTAATAATTATAAACATCTTTCAAAATAGGCAAAGCACCTTTGCTTATTTTGAAAGGTGTTTTTATAATTATTGATTTCCACTTGCATGCTACACTTATCGAAATTGAGACTGACATTACTGCAAATATTATTTTTTTTTTAAATTGTTAGAGAAGAAACCTCAAACAGACTATGAAGTACTTTCACCTTTTACTAGTGAGATTTTACTAGTTTTACATTTGATAGAAGAGTGAAATTGAATAAAAAAAAAATGCAAAAATGGAAAATAAAGTCTACTTTTTCTATCAAAGTGTTTAGATGTGATAAGTTATCCATAGCAATTTTGTGCTTAATTCCAAAGAACAAGAGAAAGAACAAGAAGCAATCAAGTACAGGTATTCTCCATATAACACTGCACTTCTATAGCACGGATTCACTCTAACACGGTTTGAGAATTTGGTAAAACCCTCGTACATGAAATGTACAGTAATAAAAACTATTAAAAGCGAACTTTATTTAATTTGAAATTAGGGAAATCCCCTTACAACAGTTCAGTAAACATGATAAAGCTTTTAAGTGCAAAAGATATCTCATCTGACATTTTTCATTTGAGCACATATGTACTATCAGATTTTCCTGTATAATTTTCGTGAACTATTAGTACTAAAGTATGTAAATTTTCTTTTCCCGCCTTCTGTCTACATGTGGTACTTCTCAAAACTTGTTTCAGTGTTGCCAGATTGCAACACTTTTGCTTTTGATGTTGCCAAACGTTTTTCCCTTATTCCATATTTGCTTTATTCTTAATAAGTGCTTAGCACCATATAAGGAAATTTATAAAGATTTTTTAACTAAAAGCAAGCAATCTAAAGTAACATATTTTTTGCAAAAGGTAGAGCATGGATCTGATGATAATGCAGAAAAATGCTCAGGGGATAAGGATATCTTGCCAAAAAGAAAATGCCCTCGGTTAATAGTGCTTAGTTATGACGAAAAAAACATTTGTTTAATTTATATTAATATGTATCATTTCTTAAGAAAATTTTAATAAAGATATTTATCTTAATTATGAAAATATAATTACATGTTTTTTAATTTTTGGAACCTAACCCCCCCCTTTCGTACTAGTTCTTTGTTTCATATAACACAGATTTGCATAACATGGCAATTTTTTTGGAACATAACTCCTGTGTTATATGGGGGGTTACCTGTATTAAAAAAATGCTTTCAAATATTAAATAATATTTGAAAGCATTTTTAATACAGGTATATGGTCAAATATTATTATTGTTAAGGGAAAATTTATTGTTATTATTGTATAACTTAATACGATATCTATTAATACCATGGATATAAACATTACAGAATAATATGAAATTTTAAGTACAGGTAACCCCCGTATAACATGGTAGTTACATTCCAAAAAATTGCCGTGTTATGCGAATCCGTGTTATACGAAACAAAGAACTAGTACGAAAAGGAGGGTTAGGTTCCAAAACTTAAAAAACATGCTATTATATTTTCATAATTAAGATAAATATCTTTATTAAAATTTTCTTAAATGATTACATATTAATATAAATTAAACAATCTTTTCTTCGTCATCACTAAAAGCACTATTAACCGAGAGCATTTTCTTTTTGGCATCTTTTTTGATCCTTATCCTCTGAGTATTTTTCTGCATTATCTTCAGATCCATGCTTTACCTTTTGCAAAAAGTATGTAATTTTAGATTGCTTGCTTTTAGTTAAAAGATCTTTATAAATTTCCTTATATGGTGCTAAGCACTTATATGAAGAATAAAGCAAGTATGGAATAAGGGAAAAACATTCGGCAACATCAGAAGCAGAAGCGTCGCGATCTGGCAACATTGAAACAAGTTTCGAGAA